GTAGTTCCACTGGCATTGCCATCTTTACGGGTGACTTTCCATCCCTTGAACCATGGCATATTAGCACTTGGCTCCAACATGTTGTCACCATTCCAACCAGAAATTGGCACAAATGCTACTATGTCGGGATTGTAGCCAATTTTCTTAATGTAGGTGCTGACCTCTTTAACAATTTTCTCATATCTCTTCTGACTGTAGGGTGGCTCAGTAGAATCCATTTTGTTAACACCAACAATTAGTTGTTTCACACCCAGTGTGTAAGCCAGAAGGGCATGCTCACGGGTCTGCCCGTTCTTGGAGATACCAGCCTCAAATTCACCAACACCAGCAGCAACAATCAGGACAGCACAGTCAGCCTGAGATGTGCCTGTAATCATGTTCTTGATAAAGTCTCTGTGTCCTGGGGCATCGATGATAGTCACATAATACTTGCTGGTCTCAAATTTCCACAGGGAGATATCAATGGTGATACCACGCTCACGTTCAGCTTTTAGTTTATCCAAGACCCAGGCATATTTGAAGGAGCCCTTTCCCATCTCAGCAGCCTCCTTCTCGAATTTCTCGATGGTTCTTTTGTCGATCCCACCACATTTGTAGATCAGATGGCCAGTAGTGGTGGACTTGCCGGAATCTACGTGTCCAATGACAACGATGTTGATGTGAGTCTTCTCCTTTCCCATTTTGGCTTTGATTTAGCGGTGGTTTTCACGACACCTGTGTTCTGGCGGCAAACCAGTTGCGAAAAAAGCAATGAAATTTTTTTAAGAGAGATTTTTGCCATAGGACACATGTGCTTGCTGGAGAGACAGAGAAATAGAAAGACAGAGATCACCTCCTGGGGGGATGGAAATGCTGGAGTCCTTTCTCCTCCATCCTCCTCTTGTGATTTTGGGCACGCATGCACATGGGCCTGGCAGGAGTTTCAAATCACCAGGTCTGGGACCTGAACTGTGAGTGGAAGTCTAGTGACATAACCATTACACCATCTCCTGGTTTCATAAATGAATGAATTTTTAAAATAATGCTTAAATACTATAAAATAAAGCCAACTCATATGATAAGAATAAAAGAAGAAAACAAAGATACACATGCATGTATCCATAGTAAAATAAGGGGGAAGTGTACATGAAAACTATAGTCTTTATTTTTGTAACTTACCATGTGCTTGTAAATGACATTTATATCTACTCCTTTTCCACTACCTATGCTGTTTTCCCTACGCCTTTATCACGTGTTTTAGTTGATCATAATTTTTTACCTGGTAGGTTGACCTAAACCTTCATTTCTGAAGGATCTGGGCTATTACTATTCCTGCCTGGATTAGGTGGTCATACTTTTCCATTGACTTTAATCACAGGGTATGTTATACTAAGAGACAATAAAGGACCCCCTGCATTTCAGACATTAACATTAATAAGAACATGTTAATTTAGCTGTGTCTTTGCTTCAGGAGTGGGAAAACTTGCAAATTAACATTTCCTGGAGTAAAAGTAGTTTTATTGCAAAAGTTGGAAAATATCATTACAAGTTCTTATAATATCATTACAAGTTCTTTAGACTACATGTCTACAAGAACAAATCATTGTGCTATTTTATGAATTGACTTGACTGAATAAATCAAATAATCAAGTCAATCAGATCATTGAAATAATATTTAAATTCAATTTTTAAAAAAAGCTAGTCAGACATAGGAAAGATGGGTATAGGTAAAACTAGGTACTTTTCTCATAGTCAAAAGAAAATGTTGTGATTTATAAACTCTGAAATATTTACAGTGGTATTTTACTAAAAATTATCACAATGATTTTTAAAATTACATAGTTTTAGTGAGAAAGGACCTTAGTGGTTATATAGTTTTTCTTCACCATTTTATTTTTTTTTTTAGATATTTTTGCTATAGAGTGGGTACGCTTGCCAGAGAGACAGAGAAATAAAACAAGACATCAACCCCCAGGGGAAGGCCATGCCACAATCCCTTCTCCTCCATTATCCTCTTAAGATTTGGCACCCACATACACATGCCTGGCATGTGTTTCAAGCCTCTAGGTCTGGGACTCAAACTACAGTTGACCATGTTGGAGTTATCTCCTTAACCACTATGCTGCCTGCCGGTCCCTCTTCTCCAATTTTTAAAAGAATATTTTGATGATCATGAAAGCTAACTGACTTACCCCGAACACATAATTTACTATTGGCATATCTGGTGCCGGATTCTTTTGTCTTCTACCGTTACTTTTATGGTAGAAGTGTTCAAAGTGTAGTTAAAATAGTTACTCTACTTTCACATAATATGCTACAAAGAAACCTCGTATGTTAGGAATTTTATAAAAACAGTGACTTACTTAATTAGAATCAATCTTCAGTGTTTTAGTGAAATCCTTATCTATTGATTGAAGTCAACACAGCTTCTTGAGATCTGTTGTGTGTACAAAATTCCACAAAATTATAATTTTTATCACTACTTTGATTTACTTTTTAAACAGAATATATCACATTAGCCTAGGTCTTATAAATTCTAGTTTCCCCCATGGTGTTTATTCATAATTCAACAAATACTATTATTGTGGTCTAGGACAAAATAAATACAGAGGTACACAGATAAATAAGATCATTATTGCCTCACAGAACTTATAGTACATTTTTAATTTTTTAATTTTATTTATTTTTATTTATTATTTTTTTTGGAGAGGTTTTTTGCTATAGGGTGCGTGCGCTCGCCAGACAGAGAGAGACATAGAGACAGAAAGTGAGAAATCACCCTCCAGGGGAGATGGTCATGCCGCAGTCCCTTCTCCTCCATTCTCCTCTCAGGATCTTGGGCATACACGCACACGCGCCCGGCGTGAGTTTTAAGCCACCGGGTCTGGGACGTGAACCGTGGTCGACTACGTGGGAGTCCAGCGACATAGCCATTACACTAACTGCTGGTTCCCATAGTCCATTTTTAAAAATGAGATATAATATCGTATCAGTTTCCTATGGCTGTTGTAACAAATTACCACTATCATGAATTACAGAAATATTTTGTCTCATTATTCTGGACATAGGAAGTCCAAACTCAGTATCACCATGTCCAAAATCAATGTGTCAACAGGCTGGACTTTCTCTGGATATTTTAGAGGGTAATTAATTTCTTGTCTATTGTAGTTTATGGTGGCTGCCAGCATTCCCTCGCTTGTGGTCTCATCATTCTTCCATTTGCCACTGTGATTACATTGCCTTCTATTCTGACTGTGTAAAATCTCTCTCTGCCTGTCTTTTATCAGGATATTTACAATTCTATTAACGGTCTGCCTGATAATTACTCAATATTCTGAACTTAATAGCATTTTTAAACTCTTGCTACATAAGAAAATACCCATGGGTTCCCAGGATGAGGGTCCAGATATCTTTGGTGGTCCTTATTTAATCTACCACAAAATTCAAATGGAATTTTTCATTTCTGGGAAGCTCAAAGGTTATTATAATTTGCATATATTATTAGATTTGATTTGTTAAAATTTTCTTTAAAATTTCAGTATCTATGAACATGACATACCATTGATCTAGAGTATTAATATTTTTCCTGGTTTGGTATGAATAACACTGGCTTTGTTCTTGGAATATTCTGGATGACTTCATGATATGATGTCCTTATTTTTTAAAACATTATCTATTTGTTTCTTGAGAGAGGGGGGAGAGAGAAAAAAAGACAAGGATCCCACAGGGTATTTACTCAGTGATCCACCTTTAGCCTAAGCCAAACAGGATCATAGGCACAGAGGCACATACCTGGTGTGTACAGGGAAACTTTGAGAAGCAAATCCAGGACCTTCCCATAAGGCTTCAGCTTGTGGACTGTTGCATTACTGTTGTGCCATCTGGTCTGGCACTGGTGAGCTGGGCTCCAAAGGGCAGCTCAAACTGAGCAATGCTCAAATGGACCAGAACCTGGCTCAAGAAGACCAACAGGGGAACCAGCAGTTAGCGTAATGGCTGAGTTGCTGGACTCCCACGTAGTCGACCACGGTTCGCGTCCCGGACCCGGTGGCTTAAAACTCACGCCGGGCGCGTGTGTTTGCATGCCCAAGATCCCGAGAGGAGAATGGAGGAGAAGGGATTGCAGCGTGACCATCCCCTCTGGGGGGTGATTTCTTGCTTTCTGTCTCTCTCTCTCTCTGTCTGTCTGGCGAGCGCACGTGCCGTATAGCAAAAACCTCTCCAAAAAAAAAAAAAAAACAAAAACAAAAACAAAAAAACAAAACAAAAAAAAAGAAGAGCAACAGAAGGTTCTGCTGGGACTGTCAGGCCATACGCCTCTATACACATGCCCACAGAGCTTCAGCGCCCAGAGACAAGTGAAAATACCCAACGTTGTCCCAACACATTTCTAAACCATTTCTCTTTTTTTTTTTTTCCTTTTTTTTTTTTTTTTTTTTTTTTAAGATTTTTGCTATAGGGCACATGCACTCACTAGAGAGACAGAGAAATAGAAAGACAGAAAACAAGAAATCACTCCCTGGAGAGATGGCCATGCCGCAATCCCTTCTCTTCCATTCTCCTCTCTGGATTTTGAGCACACATGCCCGGCATGAGTGTTAAGCTGCCGAGTCTGAGACACGAACTGCAGTTGCCTACGTGGGAGTCCAGCCACATAGCCATTACGCTAACTGCTGGTTCCCTAAACCATTTCTCTTAACCAAGAGCAAATTAAGAAGGAAAAACACTGTGATATGTTCAGGAGGAACATAGGGCAAACCATGTCTCTTAATCAAGAGCAACGGTAAGAGGGAAAAACACTGTTGCATGCAGGAGAAACATAACACATACCATTTATCAGGCTCTGACCTTTGACCAGATTCAGATCAGGTTAGGAGGAAAGAGTAACCTTCAGAATACCTCAACAAACCCTTGAAACAGAGATCCCTCAAAAATATAAAAAAGTAAATTGAGTATTTAAGGAACTTTCCCATCCTGTGTTTTGAAATTTATTACATAAAATTGTTCATAATATTCCTGTACTATGACATGGGTAAAAGCTGAAGCAGGTACCTATTTTATTTTTGATATCGATAATTTCCATCTTTTCTATATTTTGCTTTTGATTTGTCTGACTAGACATTTATGCCTATTTTTTGATATATTCAAAGAACCAGGTTTTTATTCCATTAAATTTTCTTTATTCGTTTTCTGTTTTCTACTTCATCAATTTCCTTTGTGATCTTTATTAGTCTACATTTTCTATTTAATTTGAATTTGATGTGCTTTCTTTTTATTTTATTTCATTTCTTCTCTTTGTGTGTTTGTGAGGGTGTGTGTGAGAGAGAGGAAAGAAAGAGCTGGAAGCTGAGATCAGTGATTTAAAACCTTCCTTTTTAATATAAGTGCTTATTACATCCTATTCCCAAAGTACACTTTACCCACATCATCACATTTTTGAAATCTTCTGTTTTCATTTTCACTCAGCTCAAAATGTTTTCTGATTTCTCATTTGATTTCTTCTCCAACCTGTAGATTATTTAAAAATGTATTATAGTCGAGAAAAACCCCCCAAAAAAAAAAAAAAAAAACAAAAACAAAAACAAAAAAACAAAACAAAAAAAAAGAAGAGCAACAGAAGGTTCTGCTGGGACTGTCAGGCCATACGCCTCTATACACATGCCCACAGAGCTTCAGCGCCCAGAGACAAGTGAAAATACCCAACGTTGTCCCAACACATTTCTAAACCATTTCTCTTTTTTTTTTTTTTCCTTTTTTGGAGAGATT